ATGTACCTTTCATGTCTTCCAACCTGATCGTGGGGCTAAGAGAAATGTCCTCTGAAACATGCCGCCTGTCTTGCAAAACAAAGATGCTGCAAGGTTGCAGCATTTTTGTCGCTGTCAAAATGTTTTCGTTTTTGTAAAATGTCCAAACCGCTCCCAGTCCTGCCCCAGCGCTCCTCTTCCCTCAAGTGCAAGGCTACCGTGAGGGCCCAGGAACCTCAGTCTGTCCAGATGAAGGTTTTCCTTTGAGAAGTAATTTATCTAGTGTTTGGGGCTTTTGAGTCCCTGGTCATACCTTATCCCTATGACTAAAGCCTCAAACACTCCTTTCATTTTCTTTTTTCCCGTCCATAAGAAAATAAAATCACCTTGAAGTAAACTAAGCTGGTAAATCATCAGAAGACATAATCATCGTATGAGAAGTTTTCTGGAGACCAAAAGATTCAAAATGGATGTGGCGAATGCAGAAGCGGCATTGGTACAAAGGGGGAAATGCAATAGTTAGTCCCTTTGGTGTAGAGAGATTCAGACACCGAGAAGCCATTCCACACTTTGTCCACGAAACCAGACCTGGCAGCCACATGCTGTGGGGCTGGCCGCCAAATGCACAGCCTCTGGATTTCCAGAAGCAGAGACCCCCGGAGTCACAAGCCCAGCTGCTCCTGCTGCAGGTGGCAGGGAAGGCGGGAAGGGCTGATGTTCCTTGCTGTCTGATTCGGCGCAGAGCAGGAGGCGGGCCAGGCCGTGGCCAGCACGCAGGGCCCACTTTACAGTGGGGCTGGGCTCCTGTGCCCATGCTCAGGCTGCAGATCACGACGAAGGGTGGGGCTGAAGGGGGCTTGGGCCTCTATCTTCCTCTTTCTCCTCCCTGCCTGCTGTCCAGTGTAGAGGTTTCCAAGCTATCTCATCTGCAGACTAGTTTTCTTGGCATCTCTGTGAATTGTCCCCCTTTTAGAAATCTGCCCAATTCACCTTTCCTATCACAACATTTTCAATTCTGAAAACCAAAGGATTGGAACACTCTTTGGCCAATGTCAGGTACACCCGAAGCCCCAACCTACGGCCAGCCCCTGCCCCCTGCAAAGAGTTGTGGGTTACATACAGGTATATACATTTTTCTCTAAACAAACTGAACAGTGTTTGGTCTGGAATGTGTTTAAGGAAAAGACCAACTCTGCAGAGTGTGAGTGGACAGAATGGGAAGCAGTATTGTTTCAGAAGAACATGCAAAGGTTTCGTGCATCGGCTGAATCGGAGGACTTTCATTCCTTTTGCCAGAAGTGGCTGTGCAGCCCTGGGAAAGAGTACATCTTATTTCTGTTTTTGGAAATGGGAGGAGCTGCCCTTTGCTGCTCTCTGCTGTCCCTTCTCACATCCAGAGGAAGCCCAGTAGTGAGCCTGTGGAAACCATATGAAGTCGAGAAGTCATGAGCGTTGCGGGCAAAGCACAGAGGCCATACCCTCCTTCTCCTGCCCTCAGCCCTGGAGTGATGGTTCCAGGGTGGCTTCTCCGGGGTGAAGAATCAACACAAGCCCAGGCTCTGGGTGGGCCACGGGGCCACGGTGGCCAAAGCCTTAAAATACAGAGTTATCTCCCCTGGGATACGGTCTTTTCTTTCTGTTTAAAATTGCTCACAAAATGTCAAACCCCAGGGCGTTCATCAGATTAAGCTGTCGTTCCTCCAGAGACAGGGTCAATCCCCCTTTTCAGGAGGGGTCACTTGGGTTCCCTCCCTTTGTCCCTGGTGTTTTTGGCCTTCGTTCTAAAGGGGGGAGGTCCCCCTCTCCCCATCACAATTCACCCAGGATCTGCTGGACGCCAAGGGAGACAAATGAACAGGATGAGGTTAGTGACGGGCAGGTAAACTGAGTCTGGGGCGCCAAATGCCAAATGCCTTTCTTCACCGGCTCATGCTCCCTAAGTGCCAGAGCTTTGCCTGGTTAACCCCAAGCCTGACTGCCCAGTTCCCTGGATGCTATGCTAACAGCTGGCTGGAGAGCTGGGACCTTCTCAAAGGTCTGTTGGGGCCACATGCGGTGCATGCTCTCTGTTTCAGACAAATGCTAGCCTCCCTGATGGCCTCACGGATGAGATGAAGACCAGGGAAGTGAAAGGGGACAGACAGGCAGCTGAGTGCAAGACCATCTGAGGACACTCTTTCAAATGACAGAAACAATCCACTTGCTCTGAGGAGGTGAAGAGACCAAGCTGGGGGGCGGGGAGGTTGGAATGCAGACTGTGATGAAGTCCATGGTCCACCATTAGCCTCAGCTGTACACAGTGGCCTCCAGGGGGTGTGTAAGCTGGGGGCCCATATGAAATGCTCAGCTTCATCGGTGGAATTTGACATCAGTGAGGGTCCTAGGGCTTTGCCACTCCACTTGGCAGGCGTTACCAAAAGGCACATTCTGAGCTCTCTTCCCATGTTGTCATAAAGTGTAAATAATACTAAATACGGTTGAAAGAGAACCTCCATTCTTTTACCACTAAGGCTCTCTCAACAGAGAGTAAGTTCTACATGGGAGTTATCAGTATTTTCTCCTCCTCCTAAAACAATGGGAATACACGCATCCAGACAGTAGAGACTCACTTGATGTCAAGTTCAACAGGGTCTACTTTGGGGCTGAAACAGTCACCATCTCCTGACGTGCTACAGGCCAACCATGGCCAAGAGCAGACCCCCAACTGCAAAAAGGGGGTCCGGCCCATCTCTCAGCTCTTCTGCACTTTCCAGGTAAGACATACTTTCAAAATAATTGCATAGAACATGCACCCCACACATCAGCTCCAGAAAATAATTTATCATCAATAAATTTGGCTTCAGATGTTGCTTTCCAAGTGCAAATGACTGCATATAGCACACAGTACAAGGAGCTGAGCAGACCCCCAACTGCAAAAAGGGGGTCCGGCCCATCTCTCAGCTCTTCTGCACTTTCCAGGTAAGACATACTTTCAAAATAATTGCATAGAACATGCACCCCACACATCAGCTCCAGAAAATAATTTATCATCAATAAATTTGGCTTCAGATGTTGCTTTCCAAGTGCAAATGACTGCATATAGCACACAGTACAAGGAGCTGATAACTATTCAGGCACACGTTCCAAGTATCAAAGTCAGGCAAATTATCACCCCTCCTCCAAAACATCTAGTTCATTGTTTTCTTTTTTTTGTTTTTGTTTTTTTTGGCCACGCCATGAGGCACGTGGCATCTTAGTTCCCCGACCAGGGATCGAACCCATGCCCCCTGCATTGGAAGCACAGAGTCTTTACCACTGGACGGCCAGGGAAGTCCCTAGTTCCTTGTTTTCTTATACTGTCTAAACTTGAACCTTCCATTACACTTGTTGGTAAGCAACATTCTAATAAACCCCTGGGAGAGATGCCTCAGTTTTCTGTTATTGTTTATAATCTTCTTGCTACTGTCCTCTGACTCAGGAACCACTTGCTTCTTAACCGGGTCTACTGTCGTTTTATAGACATTTCCAGGCTTTTTACAAATTTTGAAGAGTAATAGCTTGATTTTCACTCTGGACGCTGGTGTGGCAGACACCAAGCGGGAATCCTGTCAAGGGGCTGAGTGCCTAGGACACGGTGGACACGGGGTAGACCAGATGCCTGTCTTTCTGGCTGCTCTCCTGCACACCTGCACTGCCCTCCTAAAGGAGGCAGAATGGAGTGCTGAGCCTCATAACACTGTGTGTGTGATGGGGGGCATTACTGAACATTCGGCCTGGACCTAGGCCAAGGTGCAGAAGTGATGAAGATGGCATGGCCTACAGGATCCACTGTGTCTGGTCAACTGTGGGAGAAGGGCATGAGGACAACAACCAGGAAAGTCACTGGACCATCAGGCAGATGAACAGGGACCCACTGCGGGCTCGAGGCTGACCGTGCGACGCAGACTCAAGGTATCACATGGGCACAAGGGCCGAGGGGGGCGGGTCTTCTGCAAAGTGGGCATTTGGAGCCACCTGCTCGCCTCTTCAAGACAGCATCCTTGAAGCCTCCTGGAGAAGCGCTTTTCCCTGGGTTTCATGCTGTGTTCACTCTATCCTGCACACCAATCCACCACGTGGGTGGACAATGTGGCCCAGTGGTCCCCGGACGTTGCTGGTTTGAAAGTCCTACATCCCAGGAAATCCTTCAGTCCTGGGCAAACTGGGACCTTTGGTGACCCCACCATCACAGGTCTTTGGTTTGGGGATTCCCTTGGTCAGAAGGATGGCATTCAGCGCTGGCTGGGCCTGGCTGGGGTGGTCTCTGGCCGTCACTGCAGTGGCCACTGTCCTGCTTGCCGGGTCTCTGGCCATCACTGCAGTGGCCACTGTCCTGCTCTCCTTAACCAACCCAGATAAATGGAGTCTTTTCCAAGGCCATTTCCCTCTCCTCCCTTCTGGATCAGCCTCTAAGAACAGCGTAAACATTTGCAGAAAAAACTGGTGTAAGCTGGAGGCCATTTTCAGTTGTAAGATTAGAAATGCATTTTTAAAAAACAGAGAGATTAATTTTAAAACTGCATAGCTGAGAGCAGGGCTTCCACGCTGTCACTCCCCTTGTGAGAAACGAGAGCTGTGTGGGAAATTCACTCCAAACAAAATGGCATTGTGCTCCTTCGGCCAGGGAGGCTCTTAAATCTTTGCTGGGGGAGCGGGGGCCCTCTCCTTCACAGCAAGTCTAGCCTTTCGTCTTGGGAGAGCAGGCTTCTTCATTTCTGACCACTGATGGCAAGAGGCCCCAGGGTCTCCAGCTGGAGAGGGCTTTGCTGCAGGAGCTGCCGGGCAAGGTTTTCTGCAGGTTCCCTCCCACGGTGCCCGCACCCCTGGGGAGAAGACAGGCTGCAGAAGGGCTGAGTTGTCTTCTCAGAAAACTGCCCCTCCGAGGAAGAAGGGGAGAGAAGGAGAAGGAACTGAAGTAAAGTGCACTCTTCACCTCGGAAACAGATTCTTGATCGATCCTCTTATTAGAATTTTAAAAAGTACTTTTAAATTCCCTTCGGAAGAAAAAAAAAATCTCTTAAAGGTTAACATAAAATTCTACTACTGACAAGCAAAAGGTACAGGGCACAGAAGTAAGAAGTATAGCTCAAAAGGACATATTTCTTAAAAGGAAAAAAAAAACCCCTAATGCACAATATTTACCGATACTTAAATAATCCAGTTGAAACCTTTTTTTGTTATGAATGAAAAAATACAACATAGACGGTTACCTCTACTGAGAAGATCGGAAACGACAGGGCTGAGGGAGAGGAACTGAGAAAGTCCATTCTGTTAGGGCTTTGCAGACTCGTATGTACAGCACCAGATCCTATCAAATCCGCTCCCTTGAGCCAGTACACTTTGTGAGAAATGAACACTTCAGAATTGCAGTATAAAATATGGCCGTAAAAAACTTCTGTCTTCCAGTCCTGTGCAGGGAGGTGCACCGTGCAAGGTGGGATGGCTCTGGAGTGGCTGGTGGCGCTGGGGGCCCCTGGGGGCCCCCTTCCCTGGCCTCACCCCCTGGACCCCACCTGTAGAGCCGGTCACTTGCTTCCAGAGTGCACTGTCGTCACAGTGGTGGGCCTCGGTCTCCGATCCGCTCCCATTCCTGAGACCCCTGATGAAGAGGACATGAAACTACAGAGCGTGGAGGGTGCCAGACCTGCAGGGGGATAGCAGACACAAGAAGTTCAAAGCTTCAGAAGGATCTACTCACTCTCTCTTCCCGCTGCAAGGGTTTGTCGCGGGGGACAAACTTATGCACTTGACTCCAAATTTTTCCCTATCCACGGGAAAACATTTGCAATGTATCCAAATTCTTCTTAGACCCAGGTCTTCCCTCCTTGTTTCATTATAATAATGATAACTGCTTTGTATTTGGATACAACATGGTTTAGCCACCATAGCATGATGGGTTCCATTTACTGAGCACTTACTACATACTAGGCATTGGGCTAGGTATTGAATATATACCATCCTCACAAGAACTGTTTATTTCTTACAATGGCGGTGAGAAGCAGGGATTTTAAGAGTGAATAAAGAATGTGATACCCCCTTGTGACCCCAGCTTGGTGTGTGGTCTGGACTCTTGGCTAAGAAGCGTTTGTGACATAGGGCACATTGAAACGGGGCTGCTGATTGAGTCCTGTGTGAACTCGGCAGCCCCCTGGCCTAGAAAAATTCTTCACGGGCTGCACCTCCAATGCTCCCCAAGCAAATGTGTTGGCATCAGAATGTTCTCACGTGGGATTATCTTCCTGGCTGCAGCAGTACACCCCTCACCCCCGTCACTGTGAACTCTGTGGGCTCGAACAGCGGGACAGCCATAAAGTAAATCACTAAGATGGCCTTGCTGTCAGAGCCACTGTCTGAATCTTCAAGTAAACGATAGATTGTGGGGTTTCCTTTGACCAGAGGGTGGAAATGATCTGCCCTGAGATGTAAATGTGGGCCTAAAGCAGCGTGCAGTTGTGTCAGGGGATGCTCATGGAGATTTCCCGGGAAAACTTAAGGGCTGGACATTCTGGAATGAGGTGGGAGGGCTATTTAAAGAGGAGGGGAACCTTTTTTGAGGCAAACAGGAAGGAGTGTGATGCTCAGAGTGAGATCAAACTGAAGGGTCTCCATGATTATGGAAATGAAGGCCTACCCGGGACGATCAAGGCAACTTCTCTGCAGTGCAGAGGAGCCCATGGAAAGGCCTAGTATGAGATTAAGAGAAATACAGAGTGGAGAGTGGGAGAGAAAAATAAGGAGGGTGCGAGTGTGTCCCTCGTGATGAACTATCCCACACACAGATGAAGGACAACGAAACATTAGTACTATTACTTTGATCCCAAAGCCAACGCACTTCGTATAAATTAGCTCAAATGATTATCAGAAAAAAAAAAAAAAAAACATTTTAAAAGTCAATGAGATCAGACTGTCATATGAGTCTCTGCCATCCCTTCCTCAGTCCCTAAGGGTGATGCCCAATGAGAAGCAAATCAGAACATAAGGAGATGGATGAGAAAGTGTCGGGCTTTTGTCCACACACACGTGGCTGTGTGGGACTTGAGCCTCAGATGTCTTATAAATGGAAACAACAGTAGCTACGGTTGTAGAAATATGAAATAACTAAATCTGAAAAAATATTTAAAAAATAGTGAATAGGACTGTTGGGAGTATTAAATAAGATCAAGTATTCACAGACCCCGACAAACAGTAGCTACTCAGCAAATGAGCGTCCCCCCTCTCTCCCTACTAGATTTGTCTCCAATGCCAGTTGGAAAGTTCTGTTTTTGCTACATACGCACAATCTTTTTGGCTGGCCAGACTGAGGCTGCTCGAAACACTTGTATTTGAACTGTCCAGGCTGCTGCCAAGATGTAGTTTTCTCATATGTCTCACGACGGCCGTGGCATTAAACGCTTGCTGAAATTTAAGAAGGGGGAAAGGCAGACAAAATATTCCAGCTAATTAGAAAAGACCGAGACTGTCTCCTATCATTTATCCTGTTACCCTAAGCAGGTCAAACTTCTGACAACGGTCTCATGATCCACTAGAAAGGAAACTGATGTTGCCTCTTCTTCCAAAAGTACATTCATCCTTTGACCCTCTCCCCCCAAGAAAATATATTTTGGAGATGAAAAGAGTATTTTTCTTCTGACATAATACCATGGAATATAGAGTAAACGTAAGCCAATTCCCTCCATAATTTAAGAGAATGACTTCTAGAACAAAAGGTGCATTATAATAAGAGTACCGTAAAATATATTTTAAGCGTTTTAATTTTCTGATTATTGGTGTTTTGTCCTAAATAAAGTACGTCAGTGGAATTACTGTCTGTGTAGTCTCTAGTTGTTGGCTCTCGTGCAAGAACAGCCAACTCTCGATTACCCATGCTGTGAGAACACAGGGTAATGGTTTAAATCCATCACATTTTTACCAGAATGTATTGATGAGTTCAACTGAGATTTCCTGGGTTTTTTTCCCCCTTTTTATGTCACTTTAATAATAGTCAACCCTTCAAAGTTCCAGCAAAGTGAAGGAAGACAACAGGGATTATGTTCTTAAGAAACAGCAAATGAGAAAAGCTGGCAATATTGCTATATTTTTGGATCACAGAGGGGAGATATTATTAAATCATACACTTTATCCCTCTCACACCACGATGCTCTCGTCAAGTCTTAATCCTTACCGGTTAAAATTAGCACACGTTTGGGTGAGGCTATGGGGATTCTCATCAAACTTGGGGGACAGTAACACTTAGATATAAAAAATGCTTGAACTGCAGGGCCAGTTTCGTTTGAGTGGTTAAGTTCACTGGGAATGTAGGAAACACAGGACTTACTCTCCACTTGCTTTTGGCGAAGTTCTTCCGGATCTGGGCGCTGACCGACTCGTGGATGTTTTTGCTGAGGGCTGTGTCACCGGCGATCCTGAAATGGAGGCAAAGATGCTTCTCAAGAGGGTTTCTTGGGGGGAGGGGGGCGTCTGACACTGGGTCCCAAGCTGCTTTCCTGGGGAAGCCATGTCCTGTCCCCTCCCACAGGTTTCCTGAGAGGATGGCATGTCACTGCCCCTCCAGGCTGCTTATTTCAACGCACAGCTCTTGTCTGAACGTCCATGACCCACCACCACTGCACTCCAAGCCCGGTCCCACCTCCGTACCCTGCACCCCCTCCAGGATGGGTCAGCACCTTCATGGTGGGCCACTCTGCCCGGCTCCCCCTTCTTCCCCTTTTCACCCCCATTCCTGCAATATCAGAGTCCACAAGGACAACACAACCTGAATTCAGCTCTCCTCTTTCTCCCCCTCCCCCAGCTTCCTACCCGCCGTGTCTCACCTCTGAGGTCTCAAGCGTGTCCCCCCCCCTCGTCTGCGCCCCAGACCCCTACGCAGGGTCGCCCCCCGCAGCCTCCTCCCCCCAGCCCCTCTCTGGCATCCCCAGGATCTCTGGTCCATGGACCTGCTCACGCCCGGGGCCCACTGCTCCCTTCTGGCTCCATCCCGGCTGACCTGAGCTCTGCCACGTTCTACTCCCCTCCCTCCCCCCGGGGCCCCTCACCTTCTCTGTGCTCAGTGACAGGGTTCCCAGCCTCAGCTCGGCCCTGCTTGGCACACCTACTCCTGCATTTCCTAGAAAAGTTCTCAGAACCGCAAGAACCATGTCGCCGCTGCCTTCCACTGGGTCCTTTACAACACTGGGCAATCTTTTCTCTAGCTCTTGCTTGACCTTAGCCTTCTATTAGCAGGGAGGAAGGGAGGTTTAGTTTCGACTCCTGTCCTCAGAGTCCCCCCTCAGCCTATTACTTCCTCCCTCTGCTTTATCACACCTCTTCTCTCCCCCCCCCCCCCCCCCCCCCCCCCCGTTCTTTCACCCCCCTCTTCTCTCTGGGCTTACAGTCGCCAGTCTCGTTGATGAGCTGGGGGTCCCTCCAGCCCATTCTTTTTTTTTTTCCTCCAGCCCATTCTTCTCCCTCACATCCCTTCTCAACCTCAATGCCACCCTTGCTCTACATTTGACCGCTTGGCCTCCCCCAGTCTCACAGGAAGTTGCATTTTGCTCAGTCTTTTCTGGGCTTGAAGCCATCCATCTTCCCTTTCCTTTAGCACCAAACTATTCAATTCTGAGCTGATGCCTGATGCCTCAGAAGTAATTTCTTGGATCTCGGAACTGTTAAGGGGCAGACAGATGCCGGGGACACTGACCATACTTTCTGGCTGGCAGGTGGCTGGCAGAGCCCGTCAGGTCCCAGACTCCGAGGGCCCTGGACACAGACCAGACTGGGCACAGACTGCCGTGTTCAACCGATTTAGGACATGAGAGGAACAAGCTTGGGGCTTATTCAGATAGGAAACCAGCCCTGGATAAAAAATATGTTCCCACCACCAGCCTTTCCTTTTAGGAACTGAAAACATGGCTGGTGGACTCTGGAAGGTAAGTCTATGCCAGGCTGGGCCTAAGTTTAGAATACCGTACAGTCTGCTATTCCCAGCTCAGAGCAAGACCCCCCCCCTAGATAGACTTCTCTAGTTTTCCCAGCAGGGCTGAAAAGACACAGCTCAGAGGATACTCAGAAACGAACCAAGGCCAGGCAGGTTTCCATCTCCAACAACTGTCAATTGCCTGATTTCCCCAGATGCACATCAGTGAAGAGAAATACGTGAATGAGCAAATCCACCCGAAAGCCCAGGCACGAGGAAGCTGGGGAGCAGATGTCGTTATTCAGCCTCTCCTCCTGGAGGCCTCACATGAGTGTTTCCTCCTGTTTGTAACAGCTGCATCCTCAGAAAAGGACGCCAGCTCCACCTCGGGGTGGTCAGCTCCTTCTTGGAAACCAGGGGGCAGAAGTGGTAGGAAGGACGGAATTCTCGGGCTGAGCACTGATGAGGGGGCAGAGCCCGCTCCAAACCAAACAGGCCAGGTGGCGGGGTGTCAGGGAGACTCCCTTCCCTGTGGGTGAGCAAAAGGCTGAGAGGGGAGGAAAATGCAAATTTTCAGTTATTCTAGGAATGTTCCGTGCTCACTTCCCACAGTGCCAGGGTGCGCTGCCACTGGGTAAGGACCAAGCGGGGCACACGGTGGCCCAGAGGCCGCTGTTAAACACTCTTCTTGGAGGTAACACCACCTCGGCTCACGACAGCTCACGACCTTCCTCAAACAGGCAACTGTGCAGGGATATACGTATATGTAGAGCTGATTCACTTTGTTCTACAGCAGCAACTAACGCAACCATGTAAAGCAATGATACTCCAATAAAGGTGTTAAAAAAAAAAAAAGAAAGAAAAGAGAGAAAAAAACACCGCAATCATGCTGCTGCTCCCGTCGGCCAGGGATCACGTGGGATGCTCAGCGCTCCCAGCTTCAGCATCATTCACCCACAAGACCGGAGGCGTGGAGTCTCAGCACTGGAAGGGACCTTGGATGTCACCCTGACTGTCCTAGGAACTGAATAACGCCCCTGAGACAGGAGACTTCCCTATGAATCCGCACACACACACACACGTAAAGCTACAGGCACCCCCATTTCATCTGGGTCTCCCGACTCTCTCTCGCTTCCCTGTTTTTGCCTCTAAACTAACAAAGGACATGCTGTTTATATCAATTCCGCTCCATCAGGCCTGTCTGGCTCTTCTCCACACACAGATCATTAAACTCCTCTCCTCGCTTTTGGGTGTTTTTGTGTTTTGTACACGGTCTGTTCTACCTGCATGGCTCTGACTGTACACTTTTCTAGTCACTTGCTCAAAACAGGCTTGGTGATGCCTGGTGTGTATCCCAAACTCCTGGGATCCATCCCAGTTTCTGTGGTCACCGCAGCTTGGCTGGCTGGAATCCGGGGAGGGGAGGGGTCTCCATGAACGCTGAGGAGGGTGCAGAGTTGAAGCCCCCCTGGCTGGCCCAGCCTGGAATCCCCACCCTACCCTGGACGGCCCGGGTGAGGTTGGCATCTCCGTGAAGTCCTGCTTGATTCTGAGCCCACCTTGCCCCTCTGCCAGGCCCCTGACAGTGAAACTGACCTTTCTCTTCTTTGCTTTTTTTCAAAAATGTCTGGTGAAGGAGAGATGAGGTTTTAACTGGCCTTCCTGCCTTCCACAGAGTGAGGCTGGATCAGTGAACAAGTTCTAGGAAGCAAATCACTTCCCTTCTTTTGAGGTCATTTTCCTCCTCTCTAAGATAACCTCAAAAGCCTCCTACATGAAAGATAAGTAAGTACTGGGGTTGTAATGTACAACTGGGTGACAATGGTTAACACTGCTTTATGGCATACTTGAAAGTTGTTAAGAGTAAATCCTGAAAGTTCTCGCCACAAGGAAAAAAAAATTTTTTTTTTTTGTAACTAACATATTAGGCAATGGATATTAAGTAAACTTATTGTGGTAGTCATTTTGCACCATATATGGATGCCAAGTTATTATGCTCTAACACCTTAAACTTACACAGTGCTGCATGCCAGCTATCTCTCTGTAAAGCTGGGGAAAAAGTCTCATATAGCTGTAAAAGCCAACTGCTTATAAAATAAGAAAAACTTTCATATCTTCACTGTCACATACTTTGACCTATCATCCAAAGTGACTTATTAAAAAAATATCAGGCTGACACACAATCAAAACTGCCTCCTTTTCAGAAAATTCCTTCCTTCCCCTTTCCTTCTCTTGTCAGTTTGGGGTGAAGAGCATCATTTTGGAATCTGACAGTTCTGCCTGGAAACATTTCTGGCTTTGCTGTTAGCTAGTTGTGTCCTGTTGCCTAAGTTTCTTTATCTTTCTACATATATTTCCTTATCTCAGAAATGGAGACAAAAAACTACCTTACAGGATTATCATAAAAGAAAAAATGCGGTGATATTTTAATATGATTAGCACAGGGCCTGGGACATCATAGATGATAAATGACGGCTGTTATTATACATTAAAATACTGTGAAACTCGTCAGGAAAGGACCTTGGGCAGGTCCCCTTTGCAAGGTTAATCGGCATATGAGCATCCGGAGAAAATGCTGCAGGAGACGGTAGAATCAACAGGGAACAGTTGGGGCGGATGTCTCCTGAAGTCAAGGAGACAAGTCTGAGCATTGTATCGGCTATTTTACTACTCCTGGCCTTCGTTTCAAAAAGGAGGCTCACGGTGATTTAAATAAGAAGAGCTTAATGACGCAATTGCTACGTGCCAGATGCACTAAACCCTTTCTGTGTGTGCATGATCTCAGTCACTGCTTACTTCAATCCTGTAAACTAGGTATTGTTATGCTCACTTTAAAGATGAGAAAATTCAGGCTCAGAGAAGTATAAACCCAAAGTCACTGGGTTCAACCCTAGTAAGTGGCACAAAAACAAGGTGGCCTCGGGGCACCGCAGGAAATGTAGTCCAGGATGTCGTAAACTATCAACTCATCCCTCTGGAGGTGAAGAAACACTAACTTGAAAAGCATCTTAAAAGGAAAAGAACATGTGACTTCAATTCATTTACGGACTGAGTAATAAGTTCAAGGAATAAAACTCCACTCTTAATGCCTCCTTTGGGAATCACCCTCACTAAAAATGATCCTAAAATACTTCACATGAAGCGAAAACGCTACAGCCCTCTTTTGTGCGTCTGCAATTAGTGCCTTCAGAAGACTGTGTCCTCGAGTGTTGGTTTGGGGAAAGGATGAAAGCCACCGGCCACATGGGATGCAAGCTTCACCCGTGGCTTTCACAACGAAGCCCCAGCTGACTGGCATCTCTAGTGGGTGATTCTTCTTACCACGGGTGCCGAGCTGCCTGCTCGCATGTGTATCTTTTATTTGGATCTTTCTCCATCAGGTTCCGAATGAAGTCTTTTGCTGTTCAAAAGGAAGGCACAAGAGGGGGAGTCAGTTTGTGGCTTGAGATATGACAATATGATACCAGGGTGCCTCTGTGGGTATCAAGGTTACCATGGAAACAAGAGACCAGCCTTCCATGGACACTCGGGACCTGGGACAAAAAGGCAGGTGGTACCAGCATCTGGGGAAAAGGGAAGACAAGGTTTGGGTTTCTGAGTGGTGACCCAGTGAACGAGGAGGCAGCCCAGCCAGGCCTGGGGCCCTGCCTTCCCGGCTCGAAGTCCCTTCCCGCCGGCAGCTAGTGGCGCCTTCGTTTCGGAGAAAAGGTGAAATATCTTTGTCGCCAGGTGCCTCTCACTCAGCTCACTGCTGCCTTAGGGAGCTGTTTTGCTGACGTCCTCGCGTTAGGAGCTCACCGATTCAACAAAGTCGCCCGAGCACCCACTGTGGATGCACAGCCCTCCAGAAGCCCCTGCTGCAGCCCCCGTGGATGATTACAACCAGCGAGCAGGAAATTACGGTGCAGGAGATGTGCCCCGGTGGGGAAGCAAAACCGCTTGGAGGCCCAGGACCAGGTATGACCCAGAGCAGGACACTGAGAACATGAGAGGCTGGGACCCAGAACCAGAAGATGACACGTGCCAGGCGGGAAATCTGTCGCCTTGTGGCGTCTGGCAGCTCACTGCCCACAGGGCTGGACTTCGGGGGGACAGCTGGGGCCCTTCCTGACTCAGGAGTAGACTACTCCCCATGTGGCTCTTTCCTGCAAGCCTTGGAGAACTATAGCCTGGTCCCAGGTTTTGGAAGATTGAGGAAGAAAGCAGGGCATTTCCAGTTAGGAGGAAATAACACAGATAATAAAATGGGATATTTGAATAGCCCATTCATTATTTCATGTGATCCTTACACCACCCACCAGGGTGGGAGTGGTATTATTACCATCCTCATCTTGTCAGGGAGGAAACTGAGGCTGGAGACATTCCATACGCTTACGTGGGCCTTGGGTTTGATTTTTATCCCTGAGGAGGAAATGGTGAACTTCCCTGGGAATGTTTTGTGTTGCACAGTAGCTGAGACTTGGGCTCTGGAGTGAGGACGTGGGTTCAAACCCCAGCTCTGCCACTTACTAGCTGTTATTTCACCTTCCGGGGCCTCAGTTTCCTCATCTGTCAAATGGGGCTAATAGTAATCCCCACCTGATAGGCTGTCCTGAGGACTGGGTGAACTAGGCACACATGCGGAGTTTAGAGTGCACAGTGCACAGTAAGTAAGACCAATAAACTCAAGCTAATACTGTCTCACTCCAGAGCACCCAGATCAGGGTACGGCCAGGAGTGGTGGAGAAGTGAGTCCCCATCCCTCAGCCTGGCTTGGGGCACGTGTCCCACACGTGTCCCAAGCCTCTCCTTGCTTCTCAAGTCAAGTCTAAGTGCGTAGCATCCTCAGGAGCCTCAGGACCGTTCTGAGCCCCCGGGGACTGCTGGAGACTCAGGTGGGCTGGGTGTCGGGGTCCCAGGAGCCGCCCACCAGGAGCCGAGAGACCTACCGGAGTCGGAGATGTCGTCCCAGTAGGGGGAGTCGAACTCATATTCCGCCTTGAGAATCTGCTCAAAGAGCTTGGAGTCATTTTCGTCATAGAAAGGAGGGTAGCCGCAGAGCCTGGAAGACGAGGATCTCTTGTGAGGATCTGAACCGGCTGAGGACCCAACACCATGTGGTGGCTTGACATCCTGCCTGGGAGGAAGAGCTGTCTTCCCTGGAGTGGAGGAAGCCTGCACCGTGTGCGCTACAGACACAATCTCAGCAAAGGACCCACACGTTCTCTGGGCACACGTGGCACAGAAGTAAAACTGTGACTTCACAGGTAGCTAAAAGGGTTAACCCTGGTGGCGCCTGAGGGTCAACACATCTTAACGCTTTGCACAGTATTCACCAGAGTCCTGCACGCCCTGAACACCTACCAGGCCGCCCTCTGTGTATAAACGTTATTGATCTTACTGCCTGGGATATGGTCCCTAATAGATGATGGGTTAGTGAAACAAACAAAATATATGTTTGGTATACATTTCAAGACCTTTCCATGTTCATTTTATTTAATAAATCATAAGAGGAAGAAAGGGAAATTTTATACACTTGAGTCACCAAATTGCCACAAGTGGCCCCAGACTGCAGAGCATCACCTCCCGTGCCCAGTTCAGGTATCTGGAAGGTTACAGCTTTGCCCATTAATATGCAGTAAGCAGAAGTTGACATAAATTTTAATACCATGACCCTTTTTCCACTGAACTGTTTCAAAGTTGATTTTTTTTTTTTTCCGATACGCGGGCCTCTCACTGCCGTGGCCTCTCCCGCTGCAGAGCACAGGCTCCAGATGCACAGGCCCAGCGGCCATGGCTCACGGGCCTAGCCGCTCCGCGGCACGTGGGATCCTCCCGGACCGGGTCACGAACCCGCGCCCCCTGCATCGGCAGGCGGACTCCCAACCACTGTGCCACCAGGGAAGTCCTCAAAGTTGATTTTTAAAAGATCATATGGGAATTCCCTGGGGGTCCAGTGGTTAGGATTTGGCGCTTTCATTGCCGAGGGCCTGGGTTTGATCCCTGGTTGGGGAACTAAGATCCTGCAAGACGCATGGCACAGCCAAAAAACATTTAAGAAAGAAAAAAAAAAAAGAGGATACTAGGATGTTGGTGCAAGAAACTTCTAGTTCTAGAGGTACTGACAGTCATAATAGAAGTAGGAATTTTTGTTAAATACCCCAAATACAATTCCTGCCATGAAATTGTGGGTTCTCACTCCCAGGTCTGCTACGGGCTCTGAGGTGACCTTTACCATTAAAGGCCAATGATGCATTTTTTGGACCAAAATGTCCTCATCTAAACACGAAGAGGCCAGACTAGAAAATTCCTAATATTCTTTCTGGCTTTAAGATGCTGTGGGTCCATGCTTCCTCCCCCAATTTGTTTGGCCGGTCCACGCTTGAGGCCCACGGCAGGCAGGCAGGGGCAGCCTCTGGTTGGGACTGGACATCGGGGAGGGGTGAGACTGAGGCTGCGGCCATAAGTGACGGACAGGGCAGAGGGTGAGGCTGGATTCTGGAAGGCCAAGCGCAAAGCTTGGATCACGCCAGATCTGTGTATAAGTGACGGACAGGGCAGAGGGTGAGGCTGGATTCTGGAAGGCCAAGTGCAAAGCTTGGATCACACCAGATCCGTGTATACAGTCCCTCATACAATCCTCATTTTAAAGGTAGAGAAACGGGGCTTCCCTGGTGGCGCAGTGGTTAAGAACTTGGTTCCGGGCCCGAGACAACCCACAGGGCGGCAGCAGCCACAGTGAGAGAGTCCCGCCCCCAGACGAGCCCTGAATCTTCCCACGCAGCCCAACTTTGTTCAAAGCACAGCTACAGCCTAGAGACCAGTTTAATGAGAACAAGTGAACGGGAATCAACAGACTCCAGGCCTTCGAGGGATTTAGGCTGCCAGCAAGTAAGAAATTTAATGAAGGTTCAAAACACAGCTTTTAGTACAAATTTTCAGCCGCTCCTGCCACCCTACACAGAATCACTGGTCGTGCTGCACAGGGGAACGGCCGATGACACTTTTAAAGGCTGTGAGACATTCTGTGGGCTGATAAGATTCAGAATCATCTATCTCTACAAGGTGGATTTAGGGGCTAAGTGCCTGGAAAATTTCATTTTTAAAGGTTTGCTCCTTTTGGCGAAGTAAAAGCCAGTGCTTCTGAAACAACGAAGCACATATTTCACTACCCAGGAAAGCCTGCAGCTGAGAGAGGGATATGGAAATGTTTCCCATAATGAGGATTTGGGCTACATGAAATGTGCATATTAGGAAAAGCAGACAGGGCAAAATGTTAGTTCATCTCGGAAAATAACGAAATTTTAGATGTGTGAGGTTTTTGTTTATTAACAACGGACTGTGTTTTACTTTACAGTTTGGCTTTCTTTTCAAGGAAAAAAAATCTTCAAGAAAATTCCAAGAAAGATTTAATCTTCTTGTGCCAATTTTCTTAAAGTAATCCTGATTTCTTCTGGTTTTAGCTCCTCTTTTGGGGGGGGGGAGTAAAGAACACTGTGTTTATGTGTCTGTACTGAGGATGGAAGGAAAGGAAACGGATGGAGTTTGGGGACTGAGTTAAAATTAAGACAGAACATTTTTAAATAAGGGCTGAAACAGAACAGAAGGCCAAGGAGAAGTTGTAAAACCTTCCTCAGATCTAGAAGGTTCACAGAGTTCCCTGGTCAGGCTATTTCGTGAGCAGGTTTGTGTGGTGGGTTCGATTAGGAGAAAGGACTTTGAGTTGTTTCTCTTTCCGTATACAGAATGCTGACTTCCGTGGTCCTGGATCACCCATTTGCAGATTTCATCTCTGTGTTCATATTTCACGTTATCAAACCATTTAAATAATCTACAGGTGATCTCACTGTGGGTTCTCAAAGACGATAAAGCCACTCCCAATTGTTCTAGGCCTAAAAGCCCATGGTTCAGAATAACATCTAAACTTGACAACCCAACAACAGATGGTCACGCCCAACACGGGCAACTCGCCTTCATGGGCTCATCCATCACATCCATCCCAGCCTCAGGATGGCCATCTAGGGAGAATGCTCCCACCTCCCGTCTTCCCTTTGCTGCTCAGTCTGCCATCTCATCTACCTTGGCACACTTACACAAACATACTACTAGATTCTAGTGTAGCTTCGACTGAGCACTTATTTGGGGTCAAAAACTGCACCAAGGCGCTTTGCTGTATTATCTCACTTAAACCTCACTCTCCCAGGCACTTCCCTGGCGGTCCAGTGGTTGGGACTCTGCATTTCCATTGCAGGGGGCATGGGTTCAATCCCTGGTCGGGGAACTAGATCCCACATGCCGCGTGGTGCGTGATGCGGCCAAAAAAAAGGATTAAAAAAAATAAAATTAAAAAAATATTAAAAAATACAAAAAAACGAAAACAAGAAACCCCTCACTCCCCCCGGAGGTGTGCTTCCCCAACACCTTCCCTGTGTCCTTCAGAGCCACCCTCCGCTCTGCTCTGTCCCCGGGAGGCTGACCTGTACAGAGGGTTGACTGAGGGTTGAACTCTCTGGCGTCTGGTAGGGGGTTGGCCAGTGGGGGCCCCGGGGGAGATGAGGGAGGAAGGAGGAAGTCAGGGCAGGGTGAGTGTTGCCCTGAGCCTTCCCATCCAGCGCTCAGGCTGGTTACAGCCCTGGGCTGAGGGCCAGGCTGCTCTCAAGGGAGGGGACTCTACCAGACTCCCTTGGGTGTGGTAACTGCTTTCTCCCTCCCCCAATCACCGAGGGTCTAAGGGTGCTTACGGCTCAGCTGCTATAAATCTCAAGGTCCTGGTGCTATTCCTTGTGGTCCCCTCACACCAGATCCGTGTATACAGTCCCTCATACAATCCTCATTTTAAAGGTAGAGAAACGGGGCTTCCCTGGTGGCGCAGTCGTTAAGAATCCGCCTGCCAAGGCAGGGGACATGGGTTCGAGCCCTGGTCCGGGAAGATCCCACATGCCGCGGAGCATCTAAGCCCATGCGCCACAACTACTGAGCCTGTACTCTAGAGCCCGCAAGCCACAACTACTGAGCCTGAGTGCTACAACTACTGAAGCCCACGCACCTAGAGCCCGTGCTCCACAACAAGAGGAGCCACTGCAATGAGAAGCCCGCACACCACAACTAAGAGCAGCCCATGCTCGTCACAACTAGAGAAACCCTCGCGCAGCAACGAAGACCCAACACAGCCAAAATTAAATAAATAAATTTATATTTTTTAAAAAAAGGCAGAGAAACTAACTTGCAGCAAAGTCAGGACGCCAGCCCTACCTGTCTGATTCCAGGTCTGTGTTCTTAACTGTTTTGCCTGTTCACTAAAGGAAAGGAGGCTTGAGAACTGAACCTTATGTTTCAGTCTTGACTTTGCATTCTCCCTGCAGGCCATTTCATTTGCCCACCGGTCCCTTCATCTGCAAACAGAACCTGGCGACTGGACGCTACTTCCCCAGCCTCATTTCCCACACTCTGGGTCTAGTAGCTAAGATGCTTGGGGTTGGTTTGCTGCCCACTGGGCACTTTTTGTTTCTGGACCAAGGTAAAGGTATGCACTCTACCTGGGCTGCCCTCCCCTGGCCCCTTCCATCGACTCTGGCACACCCCTGGAGACCGGCTGCCATGTTACTAGTAAGACCCAGTGCCCAGCTGCCAGGTGGTGTCGGTGCCCTGCTCTGTGTCCCCACGGCCGCGGACAGAGCTCCGTGGTGACACTTCCTACACTGCGCGCTGCCCTGACCTGTCCACAAGCTCCTTAAGGCAGGACCGCGTCTTATGTCTTACTCTTGTCTTCGGATTTTCAGTGTCCAGCCCAGAGTCTACCCGTGGCAGATCCTGGGTAAATGTTTGGATGAACAAAGATGCTCTTGAAAAAGAGGCTTCATCGTTGGCTGTTGAGCCCCTGGATGAGCTCTGAAACAGAGACATGGATGACGGATGAAGGATAGCCCACCACTGCCCAGCCCAGGGAGCTGTCAAAGTTCCTACCTACCCCGACTCCTCCCTCCTGTACCTCACCCCTCTCAGGAGGTGGCAAAATAGCAATGCTCTGTGTCATTGACAGATGTTCCAGAAGAACCCAGTGTG